TGTTGAACTAAATTTAAAAACAAAAATAAACAAGCTGAATAATGAAAACAAGTCATTTTTCATACTAATAATAGTAAACACAAATGTTTATGTATAGTAAAATAGATTTAAATATACCAACTGTTTTATATCATTTTTCAGACAAAATCTGTTTTCGTTGTCTTATACAAATATTTGAATAATATTTTCAAAATCAACTTCAATTTACTTGATAAAACATTTTTGGTGTAAAATCATAAACGCTCGACTAGGTTTTTCTTATTGAATTTCACCTTAAATGTCTGATATTTGAATCGTCTAATCAATGATGCATCAGTAATATCGAGCTGTTGATTTTCTATTTCATCCATAACTAGAAAACATTCAAAACTACTAAGTCAGATGCCTTCTCGACGATTTCAAATGAAAAATCAGAAAGCTCTTTTTCTAAATCATAGACATAACAAAAAACAGAAAAGTTTGTTTTTATTCGAAAAAATTCAAAGTTTTCAATCAATCTAATGATCATTAGAAATATTGATGACGAGAAATTTTCGTTCGTAAAATTTTGTGAAACAATCATGATATGAGAACTAATGTTTGAATTATGAAAGAATAAATTCATTAAAATCTATGAAGAACTAAGCTTTCATCAAAATAATATTTCCTGACAAAGTGATTCGAATAAAAGCGAGAAGTATTTTTTTCTTGTAGTTAAATACTCTTATATAGTTCTTCCGTAGTTAATCAAATCCATAGACATTTCATTCGAAACGAGAAACAAAAACAAAACAAACAAACCACTGACATAAAAATCTTTTCTTTTAGAATACATACACACGGAAACCAAGAACATAAAATCGTTGTAAAATAAATTGACCATTGGCACTCGGTACTAATTTCATCATATTAATATATCAATTAAAATTTTTTGAATTGAGAAAATATCTATAAACAAAAAAAAAAAAGAAAACAGATAAATAGACATAGAACAATAAATTATGTATAGGTATTTATTTTTTACGTATGAATACAATAATTGAGTGACAACAAAAATAATTAATATTTTTGAGATTTCTTTGATTCTTTGTGTCGATATTGATTAAAAGAATGATGATATTATCCATCATAATTATCATTCTTCGATAAACAATGTCATTGTTAATCTTCATGAACATTTTTTTAATAATAATCTTTCATTAATTAATCACTAATGTCTCTCTCTTTCTCTTTTGGATTTATTCATATATTTATTCTATTGAAGAAATTCTTTTTCAATTAACAATTTAACATTATATTGTAATATAGATATTTTTTTATTATTTCTAACAGAATGAGATATTAATGAAACAAGTGATTCAATCGTATCATATTAATTAAAATGAAAGCTACTTTTGAATGTATAAATTATCTTTTCTATCAAAATGAGAATATTCTTTTTATTAATTCCGATATAATAATTGAATTGTTTTGAAGAGCTTTTCTTATCAGTATCTTCTATATAACTCATACTAACGTCGAACAATCATATCGAATTCTTCAATAGGTATTTGTTCATAATTAGTATTTTCAATTTCTTTATATTCAATTATATTTACATCAGTATCGAAATTATTCATAAATTAGTAGAATTTTTTAAAATTGTATATAGATGAATAGTTTCATATTGATTTTGTTGATTCTAAGTTTCATTAGATTCATCAGTTTTAAAAATAATTGCATGTTCTTTCTTCATCATCTAATCAATAAATAATTTCATTCGTTATTGATAGTATATTTAATACAACAGCTTTGATTAAGATTAATGTTAATTTTAAAAATTTTAAATGAACACATTTAGTTGAGCATCAATTAATTTTACCATAATGAAAATCAGTTATTAGTTTGACTTGTTTATTATTCGTTATTCTATATGAATAATATAAAATAGACGATGATAATACATCAATATTACGAGCAGATGTTTATATGTCACTAAGTTTAAAAGTAACACGTTCTGCTTCAATTATGTGAAGAATTTATTGAAATGATTAAAAACAACTGTCAATAAACATTCCGAGATCGTGCAAGCTAATCTCTCTATATTCGATCATCTAGCCCAATGACAATAATAATTCTATTGGGTGATTATTGAAGCAATAGAAATCGTAATATTTGCAAAGCATCAGAAAAGAGGAGTACATAATAAATATATTTTGAAAATGGTCGGGTCGTCTTACTGATAGTGTATTTGAATTATATTTTTTCCTTAATAGTCAGCCGACAGAGCGAAAAAAGCATAGCGTTTTAATCGAATCAATATCAAATGCACTACGCTTGGCGACCTCTTAGAAAATTAAATGGGCCGAGATTTACTTTAGTATTAGAAGATAGAAAAAAAAATTCTCTATCAAACTGTACTTTTACTTTTTTTCTAAAAAAGTGATTATAACCGAGAAATAATCGATACAATCTGGCCAATAGAAATAAAGATTATCTTTAATGGCTTCAGCATGGAATAATCATACAATGCAAAATGACAGCTTCGTAGAATGAACTCTCCTTTAATTTTCATCTTATTGCATTTGAGTTTGTCTCGTCGCGATTTCTTTTATATAAATGAAGTCTATTTGGAAATACTAATGATCGTCTCGATCGATAAATTTATTTTGAAATCAATTTTACGAGCAATAACAGAATTAACAAATAAATAAAATTACAAAAAAGACAAACGAAAAGAATTATGGCTTGTTTTTATTGCACTTCATTTTTGATCCATAATCTTTTTTAAAACGTGTAGCTGGTCATAATTTTGATTTAGATTGTTCCGAAGGTATTTCTAAAAACAAATGGAAAATAAACAAGGTGACACATAAGAAGAAAAAATGATTATTACCAAAGTTGTTGTATAAGGATTTGCCGTCCATTGTATTTTAGAAGTTAATTGAAAACATGACGTAGAACATGATATTGAGTGATC